AGAAAAGGAGATATACATTACCTCTTTGTCTTCCATGGAAACCTGGTCGTCTTTGTCCTCTGTGCTCTTCACCTTCATCCTGCTTACCATAAAGATACAAGATAAGAGATTCCCTTTGCAAAAGTCATCATCACCATCCAAATTGACCTTTCCCTGCTAGCAGAGTCTCTCCTCTTTCTCTCCCTTCTTACAGGCGTGGAGGAGGGAGACTTTGCCGATGTAGAGCGTTTCCTTTGATACACCGCCGTCCACGATCGTGGACGAAAGAAACCAGTTTTAAAACCAGATTTTAACTGGGTACATGTAGTGCGCATGAGCAAATGCAACACTGTGGCACCAAACACTGTTTGACAAGAGTGGCTGTCAATATCATGACAGCGTTGCTAAGTTATGCCAAGCAGGCGAGACAAGTATAACATCCTACATTGGCAGAGTCTATTTTTCTTAATCCACCAAAACAAAAGTAAAATAGGCTCTGCTAGCAGGGAAGATTTACCTCTTTACCTATTGTTTGTTGTGCACATATCAGGGCGAGATGCCACTCTTGGGACTTGATTTGTTTATATGAAAATATTTATAAATGTTTATCATAAAAGAACAATTCTCAGGGGAATATCATGTGGTCTGAAATGGGTGATTTGCATACCAAGGTAAAGAGGTCCAGTGTTGAGTATAGGGAGTCTATCCTTGGGGTGCATGTTAGGTCATAGCCACCATCGTAGTTAACAATAACAAGGGATCCTCATTAACTTCTCTTTTAACATCAACCAACATGTCGGCTGTTTCATTGTTATTTATATCTCATGGGATTTTAAGYCATTTAGTTGTCCCCAAAGAATTCTTGGAGTGCAACCATGTSAATGAAATATCCCTTGAGACATGAATAAAAATGAAACAATGTTGGTTGATYTAACAAGAGAAGCTAATGAGTAATGCTTTGCATAGTCAACTGGACAACATGGCAGCTATGACCTAACCTGCACCCCAAGAATATATAAACAACTCCAGAGTGTCCACATACAGTCAATAGTCGTGATCCACTGTTTGCACATTTCAGACCATGTGTCATTCCCTAGAGTATYTTTTCTTTGTTTACCAGTTGCACATGAGAAGACACATGAATATGGATACAACTCAAACAAACAATTCTTGGTTTGCAATCAATCCCAAGAGAGCACAATAACAAAAGGGATGTCTGSCATGTTGGAAGATATAACAAAAGAATTCATTGAAAAATCTTTTGTCAAATTCTTCCAACATGCRGCTATGACGTCTATTGCAAACGAAGAATGTTATCTTCAAGAAAATGACACATGGTCTGAAATGGCAAGATATTACGCCCATGTAATCATAAGTCATGACTCAAAGTCAATGACTCAGATTAACAGTAAATCTTTAGGTAAATCTTACTCTGTCTCCTCTAAAATCATGTCTTCTATCCCTTCTTTGTTCTTCTCTTTGCTCGTCATTCCTGTGGGTRATGCTCTCTCGACTTCTGTCTCTATCTGGCCTTGTTGTTCTTTCATTCTCTCGTCGATTCGTATTCCTCTGATCACTATATCTGCTTCGTTCTTCGTGTTCTTCTCTCCTTGGCTGATTAAGTCTTTCATGTCTGTGTTCTCTTCTATCTCTTTCTCGTGGTTCATTTTTATGTTCTCGCTCTCCTCTGTCATGCAATGAGGTTTTAGTATCGCCTCTTTTATGATCTGTGTCCTTCCTTTTTAAAAAAATAACCATAAAAAGCAAAGAAAGCAAGCTAAGCTTTATAAGAGCTTCATAACTTTGACTTTTACACAATATTTTTTTACCTTCCATATCTATCGTTATACCGCTCTCTGGAATATTTTTCTCTGTAATGCTCCTTAGAATCTACAGGAGACCTTGATCTTTCTCTTTTTCGTCTCTCCATAATGATATTTGGGGTTTTTAAAACAACTTTTAATCAAATATTTAACAAACCAAACTCACTTCTTCTTCGCCGCCATTTTGTAAATTGTAACCAGGCCTGTAAACCGGGAAAACCAGGGACTAGACCCAGACCTCCACGCGGTGATCGCTAGAATGTCTCTGAATCAACGTACTACGATTATATAATTGTGTATGTGAATATATGTGAAATATATATTTGTACTGCGGTCGTAATGTATCAAATTGAGCTRATCCTCGCAGTATATGAAGCAACTTATTATGGAGCTRCAAATTGAAAGACTCAGAAAAAATTCCGAGTCTTGAACGGGATTTAAACCCGTGCCCTGGCGATATTGTACAATATCAATTTCATAATTATTATTAAACTTTAGGGATCTCAATATTTTCTAGATGTCTAGATTTCTTGAATCTCTAGTATGACCCATGATTGTCAAAGGAGGCATTCCTTTTCCCTACGCGCGACTTGCTGTCATCTATATATGCAGCAGTGCGGTAATATGATTAAYAATTTAATATTAATAGCATTGATGTATTGATTTAATTAACGAGTCGTCCAATGAGGTCTTCTTGTTAGTATTTAAAAAGCGGAAGGAAAAAATGATGATTACGATTTATCCGTGTGAGAAAAAAACTCAACAGTTTCAAAAAAAATCACGCAGCATGGGTAATAGTAAAGAACAAATTTTGAAGATAGTCGCGCTTTTTAAAAATCTAACTAGTACTCCAAATAAATGACTGTCATTATGGTCGCTTGAGGGGGACAGAATGACGACACAAAGAAAACAACACGATAAACATGCTGTGACGTCAAAATCCGTAATGGTAGAGCGCATACCCATATCCGTGAAAAGTTAGCTAAAATTTGTACAAATTAGTTCAAAGTTTTGTAGGTATACGGTCTACCGAGGTCTACTGAATTTACTAGTCTCATACGCAGCCGCTATTAGTGTCGTCACGCCACTCTCTCTCCCCTAAGTAGCTACTTAGGGGAGTGACAACACTAATAGCGGCTGCTTAGGAGACTACTGAACTTACTAATTTGTGCAATTTTTCACGGTTACATGACATGTACTCTAGCATGCTAGCGCTATTGGTTGTTACAAGTTGGCGATTATTATAGACCTAGAACAACCAGTTTTCCAAATGACTTTACTGCTTACGAGTTTCGTTTAATTTACTGAGACCTATTTTGAAATTCTCATTATGCGGCGCGCAGTCAGATTACCTTTGTTTATTTAACATTCGTTATCGCGATCGTGTGCTCATAACTACAGTCTTCAGTCATTGGAATCAGGTGTAAGCTTGTATTCGTGGACTGGATTAGCGCAACTTTAAGTTGTACGCTGCTGTACCTTGATGAAACTCACCTTGGAACGACTACTTTATCGGTTTTTCTCTCTCAGTTGGAAAATACAAGAACACCATTCAAGTAAGTCAGCCCTTCCAATTTATGTTATTGCTATAGTGAAAATAAATATAATATCAAAATAAATTATAAATTATAATATCAACAGTTGATTGTAGAAGATGATATCGAGTTTGACGTTGGCGATTTTTTTTTAGGTCAGGGAAAAGCCAAATGGTTAGTAGACCAAAACCGCATAGATAAACGGTTTTTCGRTATTTTCAGAAATACTTTACCAAATGAAATAGTTGTGATTTACGACTGGATTTTACCTTTGATCAACATCTATTGACCAAATTGGTGTTTTAGCTTTTAAAACATCAAATAAGAATTTATATTCAATTCGCTTTGATGTGATTTTAGTTTAGATTCATTTTACTATGCTAATTGAGGATTTCTATCCTCTAAAAATGAAATTGAAGGTCCCTTAATTGCGCTCATTTTTTCCTAATTTCCGCGTTAGAACAAAGTGAACTGACTATTACTTTAATCCTAAAAGCCATTGATTACCTCCCTRCTTATTTATTAAAAAAGGTAAAGATTCAAAAAGACAGGCGATAACTGAAAGGAAAAAAAATCTTCAAATTACTTTTAAGAAAGAATATTATTTAACATGAAGATATATTAGACGTTTTTTGGAGGTGTTGAAATTCTAGATCTCCTCTCGGTCGAATGCTAACCGTTGAATCAAATTAACCTTGGCTGCTTCGTAATTGCATTTTATTACCGCGCGCGCGGACAAACATAGTGCCTTCTGATCTAGAAGTTCTGTCGAAATCCTATAGATTTTCTTATTAAATATCGAATGATCTCACTTTTACGTGAATAAGAAATCGGTCTTTGATCTTTCTGTCATTACCAAAGTATATGTTTATACCTAGAAACATTTAAGTTTATAAATTTAAGTAATATTTTAGCGTCAAAATAAAGTTAACTATGGTCATGATTGGGCAATAGGTATTTCTTCAATACTGAAGGCCAATTAGCGTCTGAAACCTATACCAGCTTCATCTCAGTTTCCAGGCCATTTGAATATGATTAGAGAGTTTTAGATTGACGTTCACGGCAAACGTGTAACGTCCGTTGATCAGTGAAAAATTCTTTTAAATTACTGAAAAAGAAACGAGAAAATATCCAAGTAGTAGAAAAACAAAAGAATATTTTTTTATGATATGAAAGTTTGCAATAGGTAAAGTAAAATACAGGAAAAAAGGTTAAAAACGTGGTCACGTTTGCCGCTTGCGGGAAGAAAAAAAGTCTATCTAAAACTCGCTAATAACTTTTATCTACGTCATTATTATAAACCTGTATGGTGCACAGCAGTTTTAAACGAAAAAATGTCATTAGTAATCTGATTAGAAACCATTTTATATCTCCCTTGAGGGAGGAACAACGATTAGAAGCCAAATAATAGATTAATATTTAATGTGATGTCGACTAAACGAAAACAAAAAACAAAAAAAACTCGCAGTCCAGAAAATAAGCTGGAAGACGCGTTGGTATGCTATTTTAATTGAGCAAGACGAAAAGTCGTGAAGATAAAATGATTTGAAGGCACTCTTTTTTTGGAAAAAAATACTAAAACGGCTAGTACGGATCAGTAAAGGAGCAAATGCGCATGCGCTAATTGTCATGTCTTGGCGCCAATGAGGTCCAATTAGCGTTCCCATTAGTACTTCACATATCTATAGACCAATGTGACTAAATATCCTGTTACACGTTGAAAAGTTAAGCTGAAACTTATGTCAAACAGCGTTGCAAGACAAGTTTCATGGGGGTGTTACTTGTTCGTGATACACACATATTTCATCTCAGTAAAAGTTTCAACGCTAACAGGGCCGCTTAACTCTCTTATAATTTTATCCATAGTGGTTGTCATCCGGCTTGGTTTTTGACTTCAATCATTAGTATCCCTAATTCGTTCCGGCCCATTCGGCGGTTTCATTTGGACTTCCCTAATTTTGGATTACCGAGGACATCAGTTTTCTCGTTTTTCTATGTTTTTCTATGTCATGTTTTATTCACAAACAACAATTGCTCGGTCTCAACATAAGCATTTTTGATTACTGCAGGCTAAACTCAAGTGCTTCAAGAAATTTTAAATGACGGTCATCGTTAACGTTTTCCCCGMGCATCATCGCCTAGATTGAACTTAATTGTGCAATATCAAAGATAGAATGAATGGTGTTCGAAGAATGTGATATATCAGTAAGATAAGATGTGCGGGAATAAGACGTGTCCAGCTGAAGATATCTAGTTGCATGAGCTCTACTAACAAGCGCCTGAGACCACTTTATTTATATAGGACATACCATATGTGTAGACACGTACCTTGGGGTTCCTTTTTTGGCGCGAAGTTAATTAACACCACCGACTGACAAAATAATTATAATAATAAAGGAATAAAAGAACACGTAACACATAAGCATCAGAAAATAAGGAAAGGTTGAGTTGATAAACGGATGGTAATGACAGGTGGACGAAAGAGAAACAAGAGAACACAAGAGTGCATGGTATATACTCAAGTTTAAAAGCAAGACACTCAAAAACGAATAGTGAAGAGAAAATTAAAATTTTCTTAAAAGACTAAGTATACAAACAAACTGATCCGCCAATCAAACTTCTTGAAGACATTGCGTTCGCGGTAAGGCACGGCACCGACTTTTTCATATATTAGTCATACGAAAATTGCTCTATATTCACAAGAATATCACTGACTAAATTTATAAAGTATGCCTCTTGCTGTGCTTAGTTCCAAGAGTTAGCTTTCAATGAATACCTGTAAGTAAGAAACCCCGGAGTGAACGATGCATGCAGACACGAAAACCATTTATATCATGACCTCTTTGCGAATGCTCACGCTTTTTATTATTGTAAGAAATGAGCGTTTTCTTTTGGTGATTGGCCTTGAAATTATTTTGCTGCGCACGGCCAATATAGTAAACATTAATGCCAATGGTTTTTCGAACACGTCAATGTTACAACTTTCGCATACTCTCGGCTTTTCTTATTTAAAAAAATCTTTTTTCCCCGGCTATTGACCTTGAATTTTTCCTATATTGTCGTGCGCAACCAATACGATAAACAGTAAACGTCAATTTTAGACCCTAAAACAACCTCYGGACTCATCTAAGTCGCTTTTCGTTTCCTTCTACGTCACACTTTGCGCATGCTCTCGGCTTTTCTTATTTAAAAACAATCTCGTACCCAGAGCCTGCGTTTCTTCTGGACTGCGTTGAAGAACGAGGGCTCTGGCATAATCCATTTTTTGAGACCAGGATTTCTTGGACTTCCAGTATAACGGCGCATGCGTTCAAAGACTTGCCAAAAACAAATCTCGTACCTTTGACACTAAGGCGGTTTGTTTGGCGATTGACCTTGAATATAATTAACATGCAGTGAACGTCAATGCTTTGTCGAAACGTTTCATGCCATGTCACGCCTTGCGCATGCTCTTAAAAATTTTCAATACTACAGTTGATTTATTTCGGTGACTGATTGACCCAGAATTTGTTCCTATATAATTTGCGCAGCCAAAATGATATAAAGTCAACGTCAATGTTTCGTCGAACCCTGAAATAACCTCTGGAATCATGTAAGTCGGTTTCCTTTTCCTCTTAAGTAACAACTTGCGCATTTTCTCGGGTTTTCTCATTTATAGAAAACCTTTGATACTTTCACATACACCTTATCTACACCATATTTGTAAATACTTACTGTAAAATGTTTGTTTCTATTTATGATTCTAGCTATTCACTAATATGTTATTTCTCTTGTAGTGTGTGTGTATAAATAAAGCCATTCATTCATTTATTATTGCACATTGAAACCTCTAGACCTGTGCTGATCTAAGTAGGTTTTCTGATCCTCTTAAGTCACAACTTGCGCATTCTCTCGGGTTTTCGTATTTATAGAAAGTTGATGTTGAAAGTCTTTTTTCTTCCTTTGTTGTTGTGCGCAGCCAGCATAAAATAGAGTTGACGTTAATATTTTGTGAAACCCTGAAACAAATTCTGGAATCAAGTCGGTTTTCGTTTTCTCTTACGGTCAGTGACTCAAAGCAAAATTACTACAAATAGCTCTTTTTCTATTTGTCTGCTAACTTTTTATTAATATCTATTTTCCTCATACACACTGAGTTACAGTAAATAGCAACCAATACGTGGTCACTAAGAATAATCATCAAATATGAGCGTTAGCAAAGTTTAATTAACAGTTGGTTCCCACATGTTTGCTCAGTCTGACGCGCGACGTCATGCAAATGAAATTTCAGCATTTTTAAATGCTCTCAAGGGGGTCTTTATTCTTTTCCATATGCGACTGAAACCTATAGCACTAGAAATAATTGCCAATTAAAATTCTCTGTTTTTGGTCAGACATCTTGTTCTTGTTTTCCCGCGCAGTTATGGGAATATTGACCCTATGCAACTTAATTTTAGATACTGTACCATATTAAAATGAGTTCATACATAGATTGATATTTCATAACTAGAACATAGTAAATTAATAAAGCAAGATCTTTTAAATTTCCTGAATGTCTACTCAGTTTTCAATAACAGTTTTCTAGTAATATTGATTATCATTATGAATTAGGCTAAGTTAGAAATTACAGCATTTCTGTAAAAACAGGTAAATTGGTTCAATACAAGTATCAAAAATTACAGCTTCCAGTTGGTACGCGATACAATATGGGATAGAAATTGAAATACAGATTTGGCGTGTTTATGATCTAAGAATATAAAGTTGATTCAGAAAGATCAAATCCCATAGTTAGTAGATATTAACAGCCTTAACACAATATGAAATTTAAACTGCTCACTTGTTACCCCACAATGCATTGCATACCAACTGGAAGTTGGACTGCTTGATGCTCATTACATATTTCTAGTGACTGTTATCTTAATCGTATTCGATGCATAAGAAGATTTCACTTGGAAATTGATGTACAACAGAATGAAATGCTTCACTGTTGTATGCCCTCACATACAACTCTTACGAGTTTTTCAATTTTTTTTTTTTTTTTTTTTTTATCACCCCCGCGCCGTCCGCACTTTTCTGGTTAGTCTTTTTGTGGACGCTTTAACCGATCGGTATGGGCGCAGACTATACTTAATCAACCTTTACAGTAAGCTTGGCTTTAAATAAGAATTAATATATTCATAAAGACTAATAGAAGAAATGATGGAATAGCTTTGCTGATATCCGTTATTATAATTTCTAATACCTTTAGACAACTATGTTTTTCTTTTTTGTTGAAATATCTTTT